GGTCCATTTACCATTTACATTTAGGAAATCCAACACTAAAATGAGTGACCTGTAATTGACAGAAATAAAAAACATATGTCCATGAGGGAATGCCTACTAATGCTTGCAAGGATGCAACAGAAACATCTTTGTATCTCCTTACCTCTCAAATCACACGCAGTCTAATGAAGGGATGTCTTAGCAAAACACAGACTAAAGCCACATTCCCACCTAAAATACACACAACTTTTATTCTCAGGAACTACTTCTCAAGGAACAAAGCTTGTTCCTTCCTTCAGCCTGTTGTTGTCTGCATTTCCAACACAGTCCAACGACCTGCAAGGATTAGGCAATTCAGTCTGCCAACATATGAAAAACAACCAACAGAAGGTGACACTATAATACAGGCCCAAACAACAGAGCTGTCACAATTAGTCTTTCAGAACAAATGCAGAAAAGTATCCATCAGCATCTTATAATTATCACACTTCGACCACTCACTCACCTTGGTGACGGCTACTTTTGCGCCCTTGTTGATGAGCTGGACCACATTGTCAGCTTGTCCCTTGTGTGAAGCTATGAGGAGGCGCTCGGACAGTGCGAGGACCTCAGCCGCATCCTGCTGGCTCATGAAGCGGGGCGAGTGATGCTGCTGTCACGGTCAGACACGGTGCTCCAGATTGGTGGGGAAGGCAGCTCTGGCGGTGGTCTCCGTTGCCCTCTAACTCATGGTGAGCATGGCTGCAGACAGAGGGGTCGAGCAGGAGCTGGAAGGGCTGCCAGTGCTGCTGTTTCTTCTGTTGCTACAAAGTCCAAAAACTTCCAGGATTCCTCCCCTTCATCCTCTCAGCTGCCGGGAAGAGAACAGGAAACACATGTACTGAAAACAAGCCAGTGTGTGCTCCGCTCATAGTAGGCAGGCAAACAGGAAAACAGGGAGGAATGGGTAGAGTGGACTGACATCCCTACTGTCCAGGTTGTAAAACCCATGTACAGTCCTCGTGGGATCATGTGAGCTGTGCTGAAATAATCCGCAATGAGAGCCAAAAAGAGGGGGCAGATTTGGTTTAGAGTGCCTGCTGTACTGTGAGGCTAACCCTTCACACACACAGACAGAAAAGACAGAAAAATACTGCAACACAGTCATAACCACCTCAAACAGTACAGACACACTGAGTGGTTTGAGGAGTTCTTCTGTTACACACTTCTATGGTTTTGGTCTAACCACAGGGAGGGAAGTGTCTCATCTGATTTCTCATCATCATTAAAATACACCAACTCCAGCTACATCAAGCTGTCATTCAAAATCTCACACTCCACTAGGGGTTAAGAAAATATTGACAAATATGGTATTGTGATATTTTGTGATACTGTACTACTCTTAAAGACACCATTGACTTTTGATCAAATATATGGCCTTGCTTACAGCATCGCAATATATGACAACATATTAAACTGTATTGTGATATCAGATCACCAGATTCTTGCCAATACACAATCCTAGACTCACAGGCTCACTGGAATGCATTTCTGTCTAACTCTTATGTATTAATTCAATTCAATTTTATT